GGGTCAGGCCGGGCATGAAAGGGCGCGCGTCCACATGGCGCGCGGCGCTGGCCCGTGATTCAGCGCGCGGCGCTGTTGCATCGCAGAGCGCAGATCGCTGGAGCGCCACGTAGCGCATGGTGCTGTCCTCAGTGGCCCACGCCCCCCTCCCTCGTCACGGCGCCTGCCGCATGCAGCGGCAGCGCGTTCTAACCGAGCAGATGTAGCGCATGGCGTTGTTACCCTCACTTGTATGTTTTATCCTTCTTTCTCCATCCTCCTCGCCCTCCTCGCCCTCCTCCTCGTCCTCGCCTATCCCCTCCCCCCCTCGCCCTCCTCCTCCTCCTCGTCCACTTCTACCACCCGTTCTATGCTGCGCAGGTGTGCGACGCGCGCGGCCCGACACTGTCTCGCGACGCCTTCCCAGGTGCTGCCCATTTCGCGTGGGGCCTCGCGTGCAGCAGGAGCTGGGTTCGCACGCCTCGGGTAAGAGTAAGGGGCCATGGCGTCAAAGACGTGGAGTCCTAGTTTTCTAACAGGGATCGTGGCCTCGAAAACATGGGTTTGTGTGCATATGTGTTCATGGGGTCGTGGTTCGGAAGGCGCGGGTCCATTGTTATCCGCGTGTCGCAGGGCAAGGGTTATTGTTACTAGTCTCACGCCCCCGCCTCCTTCACTGCCGCCTCCTTGCCGAATCCCGATTTGCCCACACGCAGGCCATTCACATCCGGGTCCACCAATTGTGAGCGTAGCCCAATTCACACCAAGAGTATGTTTTTCTGGCCGTATTTAGATTCATTGAGACTTCGACTTATCCACACCCAGTCACGTATGCCCAGGGCTTCCCATACCCAAACAGACTCACACCCAGAATTTTCATTCACAAAGACATTTGCACTCGGGCGTCCATGGTCACCGCGACGTAGTAGGCATTGCACACCGACACCCCAAGGCGGCGCCGCCAGCGGGTATTGCACGGGCCAGTTCGCGACCAGATCGTGGGGGTGTAGACAGCGAAACGGTTCTTGTTACACGTCAGAGTGAGGGGGCCGAACGGTCATTCATTGTCCTTGGGTGCATGGCTGAATAGGGAACTCGTGGTGAGAATTCTGCTTGTTGCGTTGTTGTTGTTGCTGTTGTTGTTGTTGATGTTGTTGTTGTTGCTGTTGTTGTTTGATGTCATCGTCCCACCCGCGACCCACCCGCGACCCACCCGGCGACCCACCCCGCGACCCAACCCCGCGACCCACCCCGCGACCCACCCCGCGACCCACCCACGACCCAACCCGCGACCCACCCACCCACGACCCACCCCGCGAGCCACCTACGACCCACCCCGTGACCCACCCGCGACCCACCCGCGACCCACCCGCGACCCACCCCGCGACCCACCCGCGAATCACCCCGCGACCCATCCGCGACCCACCCCGCGACCCACCCGCGACCCACCTTCAAGGGAGAAAAAATCACCCGGTTCCGACAATTAACGTTTACCAAACGGCTCTGGGCGTTTATTAAGCAGCATTGCCTTGTTCGATTCATTCCTTGTGTGCGTTTACTAAACGGCTTCGCTCGTCGGGGTGAGTATTGTGGGGTCAAGTTCCTGCCCTCTACACCCGCGACCCATCAACGACCCACCCGCGACCCATTTACGACCTATCCGCGACCCACCCGCGACCGACCCACATTGGCTTAACAAAAAAATCGGCACCTGCGGCGGGCTCGTGGTATAATTTTGGAACTTTGGCGCCTGCGGCGGGCTTCTCCAGAATCTTGCAAACTGCCGACGTCCCCACCGCCCCCTCACTCTTATCCGCATCTGCGGGGTGCTACGGTAGACATGTTTTTTTCAGAGCTCCGTGTTCACAGCAATGTAGCATGCATCGCATCTGAGCACCACAATAAAGAGGCCGCAGAGGGGAATTCTGCAGGCCCGTTCCGTCCAGATCGTGGGGACGTCTCAAGCGGTTCTTGTTGTTTCGGAAATGGATTTGTTGTCCCCACCCGTAAGATAAGCACCACGGTGTTGCAAACATTGCATGTGAAGGAGCCGCCAGGGAGCATTGCACGAACCCGTTCGCGCCCAGATTGCGTGGATGGCCAAACAGGAAATTGCGTGTCGATGTGTGCGTGTCTGTAGGTAAGGCCCCATAGTCACCACGACGTAGCAAGGACCGCACGGACACCCAGAGGTGAGCCGCCCGGCGGGAAATTGCATTGGCCCGTTCCCGCCCAGATCGTGGCGATGTCTCGAGCGAATGTTTGTTTGTATATTCCCCCATATCCAAATGATGGGGTTATTGTTATTACTCCGACCGCGCGGACCCCTTCTCCTTCCTCCTCCTCCTCCTCCTCCTCCTCCTCCTCCTCCTCCTCCTCGTCGTCCTCCTCCTCCTCCCCATGTTATGGTATGTCATGTTATGGTTTACTATGGTATGACATGTTATGGCATGGTATGGCTTATCTGCTATGGTATATTATGATATGGTATGGTACACTATGGAATGTTTTCATACGACATGTTATGGTATGGTATGTTATGTTGCGATGATGGTGGTGATGCTGATGCTGATGCTGGTGGTGGTGATGATGATGATGAGGAGGAGGCGGATGGTGGTGGTGATGATGATGATGATGATGATGGTGATGATGATGATGATGATGATGATGATGATGATGATGCTGATGATGATGATGATGATGATGGTGGTGGCGGGGCAAATTCTGAGGATGTCTCGAGCGAGGCGCGGGTTTCAGCACCCCCAAGGGGGAGCGGCCAGGGGGGATTGCACTCCTCCGTTCGCGCCAAAATGGCGGGGATGCCTCCAGCGGGATGCCTGGTTTGGTGCTCAGCAATTTCCGCGTTCGCGGTTTGCCTGATTTGGTGCTCAGCATCTCCCGCTTTCGGAGCAGATTTGGAGGATGTCTCGAGCGCGGCGCTCATGTTTGCCCCCAAGGGGGGCAGATCTTGAGGATGTGGCAAGACGCGTGGGCACAGATCCTCTTCAGGAGGCTCCAGGAGGCCCCAGGAGGCATCTGGAGGATGTCTCGAGCGAGGCGCTCATCGTCGCCCCCGGGAGGGGGGGGGGGGGCAGATTTTGAGGATGTCTCTAGCGGTTTGCCTATGTTGGTGGCCAGTTTCATGGGCACAAATCTTCTTCAGGATGCCACAGGAAGCTCCAGCAGGCTCTAAGAGGTTCCACGAGGCAACAGGAGGTGCCGAGAGGTATTAGGATGCCACAGGCCCCAGGAGGCTCCAGGAAGCCACACGAGGCCCCAGGAGGCTTGAGGATGCCATAGGAAGCCCCAAGAGGCTCCAGGAGGCTCCAGGAGGCCCCAGGAAGCCCCAGGCGGTTTCAGGAGGCCCCAGGAGTCCCCAGGCTCACGCGCAGAGACGCGCTCGTACTACTGAGACTCATTCACACCCCAATTCATTCACAGTTAGATTCACGCCCAGACCGTCGGTACCTAACGGTACCCAAGCCCGCTTATATTCGAGAACTCTCGCGCCTAGACATTCACGGCGGACAGGTCCATGTTAACAGATGCACATATGGGGAGCCCCACGCAGTGAGTAATTGATTACTTCGAGCCTCCATGGCCACCGCAACGTAGCAGGCAGTGTGTCTAGGCCACCCGAATGGGAGCCGCCAGGGGGTTATTGTGCTGGCCCTTGTGCGCCAAGATCGCTGGAAAATCTCGGGCGAAACGCTTGTTATTGGAGGTCGGCCTGTTTCTCTTCATGGCCTCATGGCCTGACCACCACGACGTAGCGGAGGCAAAAGTGTCTTCATGCAGGCCCCATGAGCACAAATATGCAGCGGGCGTGACATTCGGATCGCCCATAGAGGAGCCCCCAGGGTGTATTGTATGTGGTCAGTTCGAGCCCAGTTTGGGCATGTCTTGAGTGAAACGCTTGTGAGGGGCGTAGAGACGTGTCTCACTGAAGGTCTTCGCGGCCACTACAGTCCAACAAGTGATGCATGTAGGCCATCCAAGACGTGAGCTGGCCAGCGGTGCATCACGGGCTTCATGGCCCACTCTTGCCCAGATGCTTACAGTCAGACTCGCTCGTGCTCAGTCGACCAGCCTCGCTCATACTCATACGCCGATGCGCAGGGACTTCGCCAGTAAAGAGATGCCCAGCATGATTTTAACACGAGAGGCCTTGGTCGCGAAGGCGCGGGCCCTCCGTCGGGTTCTGCTGGTCGTGGCCTCGACGGCGCGGGCCAGCCGTTGCCCGACCAGCGCCATGCCTTACAAGTGCATGTCAAATTGAAGTGCATCGACGTTCGGCTCGAAGTCACTCCAAGTGCCAGGTTTCGCGCTCGGCCTTGACGTGAACGGCATGGGCTGCCAGGTGCTCCGCCCGCGCGCGCCGCGTGGGCTCCCCGCGCGCTGCCCGGGTTTCTGGTTGCTCGCACATGTCATGGCCCGTGGCCGCCTCGCGGGTGTTCCATGCTCAGGCTGCACGCCGTCGGTTGCACCACTTTGGTCTTCACCACAGAACGTGCACAATCATTGCACCACACAGCTTGCGCCACACAGCTTGCGCCACATGGTCTGACCATGTAGCTTGCAGGACGTAATGTGCCCCAAGGGTTGCACCACATAGTTCGCACCACATAGTGCCACACGGCTGGCACATCAGATCACGCACTTCCAGAGTGCACAATTCATTCGTCGGGTCCCACGTTGGCAAACATTATATTTCGAGTGACCCTGGCCTCGACACGGAACCCGCTAGTTTATATGTCCCAGTGTACCCATGGTTTCTGAGGATGTGTTTATTGGGTGTCGAAAGGACGTTTTCGGGCCCAGGGGGCCCGCAAGCGTTTTCAGAATTTTGGAGAACCTCACCTTCTGAGATGCAGTTCTGTGTTCCGACAATTTGACTAAACATATCGGTTGCTCAGCTCATAAGCATCTCGCAATTGTTCTGACTCGCTTATTTGCATTGATGACGGGTATGCTTCTCAATTGCGCGATCCTTGCGTTCCCAGCCGAATGGTCCCCACAAGGGAGGCGGGCGGATATGATTTTCATATTTTGGGCGTACATGTTCATAGCCGCATTCGCCATGCTGGGGCTTTTGACGGGCGTGATTACCGATCACATGAGCGAGGCGAGCATGCCTTGGATCGTGTGTTGGGTTTGCACCATGTTGATTTGCTTTATGCATTGGCTAAGGCTCAGGCCCGATGCCAAGCATAATAAGACGACAGGTTGTGAGCTCCACGAATGTCAACGGTTTTGCAAATCAGACGATGGCTCGTGCATTGTGACATCTTGCTGTAATCATGCGGGTGGCTCAATGCAGCATCGTTCCGCATTTTATTCTGAAGTCCGTGCCGACTTCTTCGTACTGAAGTTTGGCTTGGCCACCGCCGTGTTTTCTTATATTACAGCGTAAAATGCCCAAGGTGTCGTACAACGGTTGTCCTGGCTCGGGTGAGTATGTAAAGTTCGTGGTTGAGATTATTGTTGTTGAGATGTGTGACGAAGCGTCGCCGACAAAGAGTCATGTTCATGGCCGAGCGACCTTTCCTGCTTCTTCACGAGTCGGAAGGGATGATGGCAAGCTGGTTGTTCGTCATCATAGCAGGAGCGTTTTGCTAATTATTGCTGATGTGTAAAGGCCATTTGGCGCGGCTAGGAGGAGGAGAGGGAGCTGAAAGAGGAGAGGGATGGATAGGAGGAGAGAGGGGAGGATTCGAGGGGAGGGCGGAGGGAGGAAAGAGGACGGGGAGGAGGGAGCACGGAGGGGAAGAGGAGGAGTCAGAGGGAAAGACAAGGAGTGGAGAGGCAGCAGGAGGGAAGAAAGAGGAGTCGGAGGATCAAGAGATCGCCTGCAGGTCAGCAAGGACCAGAAGAAGCAGACGAGCGACGACCAGGACGACGACCTCGACGCTGTCGTGGACGAGTACCGCGCGAGGTTCAAGGACGCGCCCTGCCCCGTTGTGGCCCCCCTGCCCGCGCCCTCCTCGCGAGTTGGCGCGGCCGCCTCGAGGCACCCGCCTGGCGGTGCGCGAGGTCGCGCCGCGAGCTCGCGAGGAGGTGCCGACCTCGAAGAAGAAGAAGAAGAAACATCCGTCGGGGAAGCGAGTGCCGGCGGGCAAAGAGAGTGCGGGAGCCGGGCGTTGTGTTTGTGTTTTACGTGTTCGGCCTCCACGATTCGGGACGAGCAACTGGGCCAGGGGAAGTTCGACAATCCTCATGACGCGTGTTATTCAGGAGGGAAAAAAACACACAGACACAAGTATTCGTCGACTCCGAGAAAATATGCGAAAATATGGAAAGTGGAGGGGAAAACAGAAACCCAGAAAATATAAGAAATATGGGGAATCTTTCTATTTGTGTCCCAGGGCCCCTTCAGTTAGCCAAACGTGTCCGAATCGTTTAACCGATCCCCATCCCATTCGAGACCCCCACCAAGTTACCCCCCCAGTGGGGGGTGCACCCATCGAAACCCGAAGGGAACGGCCTATATCCCCATCTAGGCGGGTAAATCAGCCGTTGGGCCTTGGCCACGCCGCTGGGGATGGGGATCTGATAAACGGTACTCAATTCGGGGGCGGTCAAGACGGGGGTGATGGCTAGGGAGAGGGTGGATATCATGACCCCCTCGCCTCGCTTCGTTACCGCCGCGCACAATGCCCGCGGCCACGGATTGCTCCCCCCGCTCTTGGCATTTCCTCTTTGGACTCCCCCGGAAATGATGATTCGCATAAACTTTCGGAGGACTGCGCGGATTTCTCGAATGCGTGCTGAACCCACCTGGCGGCGCCTCGGGACCGCCCCTAGCGCGCGGCAGCGGATTGAGGAGGAGAGGAGGAGAGAGGAGGAGGGAGGAGGAGGGGAGAGGAGGAGGGAGGAGGAGGGAGGAGGAAGGAGGGAGGAGAAGGGAGAAGGAAGGAGGAGGAAGAGGAGGAGGGCCGAGGAGGACCGAGGAGAAATCGGCGCCTGGGCCCACCTGGCGCCGCCCCTGGCGCGCTCCCTTGCGCCAGGGGGGAGGGTCAGCGGCGCTGCGCGATCGACGCGGCCGCCTCCGCGGCCTTCGTCCGCCGGGCCTCCCTCGCAGTAGAGCCGTCCTCACGGCTGCTGCCAGCAGCACGGTGATGGACGGCGTCTTCGGGGAGGGGGCGGAGGAGGAGGGTGAGGAAGAGGCGCAAGCGGAGGAGGAGGAGGAGGAGGGGGAGGAGGGAGGAGGAGGAGGAGGAGGAGGAGGAGGAGGAGGAGGAGGAGGAGGAGGAGGAGGAGGAGGGGAGGAGGAGGAGGGGGAGGCAGAGGAGCAACACGGAGGCGGAGGAGGAGGGGTGCGAGGAGGAGGAGGATTTTGTGTTGGGGGGGGGGGGGGGGGCGAGGGGGCGAGGACAAGCTGGGTTCGCTCGCGCCACATCTGACATCCGACCCTCCGGCCCGTCCATTCCCATCGCCCTGGGTTTTCTCTGTCCCCGGGTAAGGCGGACCTAGAGCTGCAAAGGAAGACCCCACCGCGCTGTGCGGCTCAATCAGAGAAAGGCAAGCTGCGTACAGTCAGGAGTGGAAAAAACACAGACACAATGAATCGTCGGTCCCCAGGAAAATTTTGGAAAATATGGACAGTGGGGGGGAAGACGAAAACCCAGAAAAGATTGGAAATATGGGTGAATCTTTGGATTTGTGTGTATTTATGTGTGTGTCCCTGGGCCCCCCCATACAGGAGAAGGAGGTGGCGGATGAACAGGAGGAAAAGGAGGAGCATCAGGCAGGATGAGAAGGAGGACGAACAGCAGCAGCACGAATTTCAGTGGCAGGAGCGGGAGGGGCGGAAGGACGAGAGAAAGACGGAGGAGGGGAAAAGAGGGGGCGACAGCGTGGAAAGTTCAAGAACGTGATGATTGGACAATCACGTAAGACAGCCCAAATCGTCCACATCATTTGTGAAAAAAACCATGCGCGGATGGGGGCGGATACTCTCAGCACATATTCAGAGGAGACAGGATACTTCCATGTTGTTGTACAATTGCGGAGTCGAGGAGGGAAGAGCGAGGAGGACGAGGGCGTGAAGGGGAAAGATGAGGAGGAGGAGGAGGAGCGAGGAGGAGGAGGAGGAGGAGGAGGAAGACCAGGAGGAAGAGGAGGAGGGAGAAAGGATGAGGGAGGAGGACAGGGGGCAGGATGAAAAGGGGGAAGAAGAAGGAGCTGGAGGAGGAGAAGGAGGAGGAGGAGGACGAAGAGTAAGAGGGGGAGGAGGAGGAGGAGGAGGAGGAGGAGAAGGAGGAGGAGGAGGAGAAGGAGGAGGAGGAGGAGGAGGAGGAGTAGGAGGATGTGCTGGATAAGCTGGAGGAGGACGCTGTCTCATCGGTGATCTCGAGCCGTCTGGCGAGACGCAGAAACAGTCGAACATGGGGCGCCAAACCACCATACCCTCAGATGCACCCGGGAAGCATTGGGGCGACGTCCAATTTTGGTTGGTTTCTGACGGACCGGAGCCAAGGACAAGGATTTTGCAATTTCCCTGAGTTGTTGCACCAGCTGCGGGTCACAGAGCACGAGCATGGGAGAAACGACCAAGCAAGACTCTTTGGACACGCACGCTACTAAGATATATTTACTGTACACACGCTCAGTGTACGATCGCTCCATATGTACACTGCACACATGCGGGGCAAATGCAGACCTTGGAACGCTCAAGGCGGGAGCAAGGAAGCAAGAAGCAACGCAAGCACGCCGCCAGTCATCTGCCAAGGGGGTCACACAGCCTCACTAGCACAACGCGAACGAACACGGAGAGAAGCGACGAGAGCACCAGAACATGAATACTAGAACAGTACTTCTGGTCGACGTTGGGTAGCATCGAGCGCCTTTTTGCAAGCAAGACAAATAAGGATGTTTACGCTGCACCCTATGGACAGCACGGCGAAGGATGAAACGAGGATAACCCAAGCAATGCAATTCGAGGAGCAAGTTTGCTAACTCATGCACTGGGTCACCACCAAGGCATCGATTCAACGTCTGGCAAATGTGGCCTTCGACAACCCCTTACTTCATTCCAGTCGAACAATTGCTATGCCACATCTGAAACCGTGGCCTTGCAAGCTCGACGCGCCGTTGTGCCATCATATCGCCGTTACACGAGTGAGGAGAGAACGTAATATCGTGGCCGGAAACGTCGACGCTCAAGCCTACGAACAGGGCAGGATCTTCGATCTTCAGAAGCAGATTTGAATGTGCCCCTTTCTTTCTTATGCACGCGTGGACGGCGCCAGTGCACAACAGAGACAGGTTCCGCACCACCTATTCGACAACGCATGGATTTCGAGGGAGCGGCTTTCAGGGCAATCAGTCTTGTAGACAATCCGGCGTCTCTTTTGGGGAGGAACGACGCGAAACGCAGCAGAAGCATGGCCCTCAGACCGCACCCAAAACAGTGGATTCCATAAATGTCATCATTCCAACGCATGAGAAGTTGAGAAATGGAGCAAGCGTGGTGCAATGGTAGGGTCGGGGGCAGACGGGTCTTGTCAAACTCGAGAAAGCAGCAAACAGCATTGCACACAGCAGGCGCATAAGGGCATCCTTGGGCGACGCTTTTCCTGGGGGCAATCAGAGACGCAATATAACGCAGATACCCGCATTTCAAATCAAACGCGACAAGACGACGAGCACCAGTCACCCTGAAAATGTAATTGTTCCGTGACAAAGCCACGAACAAATTTGCGCCTGGTGCCAGCAACCTGGGACCAACTGGCCACAAGCCAATCGAGAGCACGGAAGATCATATTCCATGCAACATTGTTGAAACAAAACAATGTCAATGTCACGTTTGGACGAAATTAAGATAGGCATGAAGGTTTGCCTCCGCCTTTCAGCAATACGAAATCGGTTTTAAACCACATGATGCGAGAGGACACTGATCGAACCAGGGCAGACACGTTGAATCATGATGTTCAGAACGCGGCAAAGCAATGCGTACAAGGGTTTCAAACAGTGGTGAAAATATGAACCCACTGGCCGAGACTTCACCTAAAGGTCCGAATCTTTGGGCCACACGCCGATGGTTCCAAACGAATGTCGTTCAGGGCCGGGCAACACACACCAGCATAGCGAAATTCCCTCTGGACATCGCGAAATTTCGCGCGAAGAGAAGGCCACCCGATACAATTCGAAACATACACGTTATGTGAAAAATACAACACGCCTTGCACGATCTAGCCACCCACGAGTGCACGAACTAGCAATGCAAGCCTGTGCTTTATCGATCGGGGCCACGACGGCGGTTCTCGACAATAAGCGCCTCCAGTCACACTGGCGGAAGTCCCCGCATTCGGTGTACAATTGCTCCAACTATTTGTCAAGTATAATGTTGTTCCACATCGCATGCAAACCAGATTTACGCATCCTCTCAACAAGACCACGCATGGACTGGTCAATGGAAGCAAGAACATGGCCACGAGACCGAACGCATGGGGACCCGTGGTGCACATGCTTAGGTACGCTGTTGGCAAGATTCATGGTCTCACCACGAACGCAAAGATGATCCGCCGTGCAACCGACGCCCAATAAGTCTGCAAGCAATCTGCGCGCGCGCGGGAAACTGCGCGACTGAAGCTTACGACCCCACCTCTTGGAGTTGATCAAAGCATCTTGAGAAGAAGGCGTAGGCAAATATTGGGCACGGACTATGACAGCGCGACCCTTCGGGATGCAAGGCGCGCAGAACTCGCGGAACGACGGCATCGCAACACGAGGAAGGTTACAAGATGGTAAACACGGAAGCTTCACGTGGTAAATTTGATGCAGCCGGGCGACGTCTCCGAGGGCAGGAACAATCTGCGCCGGGCAACAACCAGATTCTTGCCCTCTAGTTGCATTCCGACGCACCGTGCCCGCACATTGCCAAGCTGAGGTTTTCTCTTGACGAACGGTTTCAAAAGCGAGCATGCGCTATCACCCTTCC